CATATAACTAATTGTTGCAAAATAGCTAAATGAATTTTTTTACCAATCGTAAAATTAAAGTTTTACCGTTGGGAAAGTGTTGCTAGTGTATGAAATGAGCATGCATGTTTTTCCCACGGCGCCATCACCAACCGTTACACACTTGATAAATCTAGCAGTAGTCATATTCTTCAACTGCTTGTGTGTTTTTTGTTTAAGTTATTTTTGGCACTTTCAGTTTGTTCTGCAATCACTCATGATATATTTTATATAATCACAGAGATTATTGTGATCATGTCCAAATGAGAACTGCATAAGCCCTGTCTTTATAAGTTGTGAATCTTTAGGATAATTTGAAGAAGGCAATTTCCTAAGTCATACTATTTATCCTTTTGGGCAACTAGACAATGATGATTGCTAGAAGACTTTCCTTATCTTTGAGTTCAAGTACATATCAGACATTAAAAAAAATATAATAAAATAAAAATGGTTTGCATCGAAATTAGGTGTAGTGGTGGCAGTTTGTTGGATATGTATTGAACAAGGGAGGGAAAAAGAAGCAGAAAGAAGAAAATAAAAGATCAAAAGCAGAGATTGCTTGGTAAATGAATAATGTGACTATGATTATTTGGTTTAAAACATTTGGGAATTTGTCTTAAGTGTGTGAGTTGTGATTTGTAAGCTATCTTTTTATTGTCTTTGTTTGGTTGGCAGAGTTATGATTAATGAGGAGTTGAGATTCCTACTTTATCACATTTTGGAAAAAGTTGGTAGGCTACACTAGTGGTGGTGACTGGTGACAAGAGTTGAGTAAGCCCAAGCCCACATATTATAATCGCATGGGTTGTAGATGATGCTGTTGCTTGGCCCAATTCTTAGGCAATGGACTAGGCCCAGATAACAATTCTCTGGTCCCAATTGAGGTACTCTTTAAGTCTTAATAAATCCATTTCCGTTTTCATTTTTATTAGGGCATTTTTGCGGCAAAGATAAGGGTTTATAGGATTTTTTTAACAACTTTTTTTTTTAATTTATTTATTTATTTATTTTTATGTGTTTGAGGATATAGATAAAAGTTCATTGGGAAAAGCCGGTAAATGATACTTCTTGAGTTTTTTATTTTTTTTATTTTTTGGGGACAATGAATTAAAAGGATAAGGTATGATTACTATCTAACATTACTCTAATAGGGTCTCGTTTACTTAAGCTGATAGGATAGGATATAGTTAGATAACTCCTGTTATCCAACGTTTACGAACCATAATGAGATTGAATAATTAAGTTGTTATCCAACGGTTGAAAAATATTCACAGCCACAATTTTTGAATTTCAATTAAACAATACCCAATTTTGATGGGACCATTAAATGGTGCCCGATTTTGTTGTTAAAAGAAAATGCAAAATTTAAAAAAATCCCAAATTGACATGCATTTAATTTTGTTTGCAATATTCGCTTACTATTTCTGGTAAATAGTTATTCTCTTTGTATATATACTAGTATAAAGCCCGTGCGATGCACATAGTGGATAATTTTAAGACTATTACTCAACTTTATTATTATATTCGAGAATAAAGAAAAATAAATGATTATGATAAAAAATTAACATTATATATTATTAAAGTTCTTCTTGTAAACAACATTTTTTGCTTTGTAGCCACACCATCCTCCTTGCAATTAATATTTTCAATCTTTTTCTATTACTGACACAGGAAACAGATACATACAACTGGTCGTGATTGAACACAGATTTCTTAAAAAAACATGCTAACATGTGATAAAGATTGAGCATAACTCTTGTTAATCAAATCGCGAATCTCGTGAACATCATGACCAACAATTAGCTTGGTAACATTTTTCGAAGTAGCTAATTGGTTAATAACTTAAATATTGACACGTATTTAAATATACACGTGTTTGTTAAATGTAAAATAGATATTATAAATAGAATTATAATATAAATTAAAAAATTAAAATTTAACATCGTGTTAAATTATAAATGTATTTGTTAAACGGTGAAATATGTATTTTAAATATATTTATATTATAATTAACAAAACATAAATTACTAACACAATGAAGTATCGACCATAGTATTCTCAAGATTTATCTTTCATTAAAATCAAATAAAATACTTAGCAATATGAAAAACAAAAATATTGAGATACCATTTTTCACCATAAGCGGCTGTATTGAATCGATATATAGTATGCCAAATAGTTCAATTTCATACTTTATCAATAAAACATAAAAAAAATAATATTCAGTTTTACCACGAAATTAATTGCCCAGCGTACAAAACAAAATCAAGACCCACGATTTTTTATAGATAAAAATAAAAAAGACCCAAAATATAGTTATTAAAAAACAATTAAATAGAAACAACCATTAACACCATAATTTTGAAAATGTTTTATAAAAAAATATAATTTAATAAATCAACTGAATTTACTAGATATGCGTAATTAGGGTATCTTAAAAATATAAAATTTTATGGTCTAAATATTTCCTTAATTATCCACAATTTGAGTAATTAAATACACAAAAAATGAATAACATTGATTGAATAATATTTTAATAAAAACTGTCATTAACATAAGTTTTTTTTAAAAAAAAATTCCAAATTTCATAATTGAATATGTTGTCGATATTTTCATAATATTAGTCGGATTTACACAATTTGCGTAATTAAGGTATATTAAAAACACATTTCATAAAATAATTAAACAAAAAATGTAAAACACTTATTAAATAATAAATTACACTATTTAGTTGGATTTTTTTTAGCAAATCATATAACTGATATTGCAGCCAAAATTTCAATATTTGAGTAAATCAGCCAAATTCACATTATTTGAGTAATTAAGGTATCTTAAAAATAATTTTTTTATGGCATAATTATTTCCTTAAAAAATGATCCGCAGTTTTCATAAGTGATTGTTTTAAATATACCATAAATGTTTAAGTCAATTTTCTGAAATAGTAAATAAATTTTTTTTAGGGAAATAGTTACTATTTAAAAAATAATCAAACACACACACACACACACACACACACACACACACACACACATATATATATAAATCTTTTACCAACATTTAGTATTTTGGATAGTGTTTATTGTGTTTTTGTGTTTATTTTTATGTGTTTTACATGTTTAGTAGAGTCGGTTTTAGGTTGGTTTTCTCGTCTAGCCAGTCCATTTTAGTTGTTTCGTGTACTTTTATGTTTTCCGTTTCGTTTTATTTCCTTTCCGTTTTGTTTTATGTTTTGGCGTACTTTCTCGTTCCGTTTTGGTGTGATTTATAGATTCATCTTAGAGGAGAGAGGAGTCGAACCAAGTCCCGAGCTATTTACGAATCATTTCCGAGAAGTCGACTTATTTTCAAGTCAACTCCGAGTGTTCCTGTGCTGTTTCCGATCAACCCGAGTATCCCGTGCCTTTGTCGATCGATGACGTGCCCCTACCCTGCCAGGACTCGCGACCACGCGGGGATATCCGCGACCTCGCGAATATTGCACAACATATGCCCCATCCAGACTCGCGAGAACGCGGGCGAGCTGGAGACCTCGCGAGTGTCGCGGCTGCACTCACGACCACGCGGGCGAAGCCGCGACCTCGCGAATGTCGCACTTCTCACGCCTCTCACCTGCCTTGCGGACTCGCGACCCCGCGTAGGCGTCCGCGACCTCGCGAGTGCCGCCCCTGCCCAGTCCACGCCTCGCATCTCCGTCCGCGACGTCGCGAGTGTGCCGTGCCTTGCCCATGTTTTGCCATCTGTACCCGCGTCCAACGGGCCGTTTAGCTACCTCGCGAGTGTGTGTGCGTTTTTCTTAGTGTGTGTATTTGCTGAGACTATAAAAGCACTTAATACTTTGTTATTTTGGACATAAGCTTCACTTTTTGTTCTTTCCCCCTTCTTAGACTAGAACTGCATTTATTTTTGTCTCTAGTGGTGTTTTTCCGACAACATTTTTCGGCGAACTCATTTTTATGCAAGTTTCGATTTTTCTTCGTCATTTTCGCTCAAGCACGCATTAGGAAGGTAAGTACTTCGTAGTAAGGCTTATTATCTCGATTTTGCACCTATTTTGCTATCTCGTTTGTAGACGTGAACTAGGGCTTGCTCGATTTCTTGCATGTTGGCTCATTTAGTTCGTTTTGCTTCCTTGTTTGTTGTGAACTCGTTTATTGCGCCTTGAGATTGTTGAAGTGTGAATTGTGGCAAGAAAAGTCGTGACTTAGGCACGAAGCTCGATTATTTTGTCGTAGACTATTCAACTTTAGCATTTAGGTGCATTGATAGGGTTCGGTTCTTTTGTCGTGACCCATTTCATCGATTTTTAGCGATCCGGTTTAGGAAGCTAGGGTTTTTAATTAAAATTGATTGCTAGTTTAATATTTGTTATTACCGTAGTTCATTTACTTAAAAATCGACCAACCTATTGATTGGAATGTGTAGGAATTATTTTATCTTTGTGTGTTTCGGACAACTAATTAACAAACGACGCTCCGAATAGCGTTCTTTAGAGAACGACTCGAGGTCGGGTAGCTCGGTTACCATCTACCCACACAAAATACTACTAAACAGATAGTGTGGATTTTAACAATCATAATATATAGGAATTTAAATAAATATTTTCTTTCATCATCACTTGTTTATGCATTTGTTAGTATTAAATAAATATTTTCTTTTATCATCACATGTTTATGCATTTGTTAGGATTCTTTAAATTCTCAATACTCACGTGTTTGTATTTTTTGGATTTTAATTAATGAGTAGCTTTTTGTATAGTGTGGATTATGAGAATCACAAAAATCTTAATAAATAATTTAAATTCAAATTCGTAAAGAATGTATTACTTACTAATTAATATTTTTTTAATCCCGTTTATTTATTTACTTTCTCCAAAAACTAATCGAATATCCAACATTTTTTAATTAGTGATACAATTTGATAAGCAGTATCATTCAGTTATCCTTCTAACAACTAAATTAGAATACAATATTTTGAATTAAAATGAATATTTGATTGATCACGCGCCATTCCAAATTTTTTTTTGTCCTTACCGTTAGAGCATCTCCAATGCTATGAGTTTGTAGACCATTATTTTTAATACATGTCAATTAGTGATTGTAATATTAATCCACATTGGAATAATGTTAAAGGACTAGAAATTTGAATGAAACTAGTATCTCCAATGCATAAATTTGATAAGTAGTTATTTGTATAGGTGGACCAATTAAATAATTCATTGAAACAAGAAAAATAAAAAATTAAAATAAATATAAAGTAAATTGATGAGTTATCATGTTTAACATGGTGTTATATATTAGAAAGTGGGCAAAATTTTAAAATTGGTCCTATAACTTGGTCACTGTCCAAAAAACCACCCCGATATTGACCACTTTTAATTTAGGTCCTAT